GCCTTCACAAGTGCTGAGTCCCAACTCACCGCTGAGCTTTCCGAGCTGCCAGGCTTGTCCAGGAGACAAGAGCCGAGGCTGCTACCCGCGCTGCAGGTCGGCCCATCCGGCCCACGTGGACACTTCAGAGACCAGACTGTATCTCTGGACCTTCTCTTCCCCCAGCCCCCCGGCGCCCCCCTACACACCGCTCTTCTTTATCTGACATGTTCATAGGGAGGGGAGGGGAGGATTGTAATTCCCTGAACTTGTTTCTCCCAAATTTTGTAGGAAAGCTGTACCCGGATGTTCTGTTGGTTGCAGCGTCTGGCCCGGGCCCAGGCTGTGCATTCTCCAGTCTGAGAGCACGCACTGATGTAGCATTTGGACTCAATCAGAAAACTGACGTGGGAAACACATGTAAGAGAATTGTCAAGGCGACCCCAGTAGCAATTCATGATTAAACGTGGATCTGCGTGGACCAACGTGCAGAAACTGTGCCTGACCTTCATACAGGCATGGCATGGCCTGACATTTCAGAAGGAAATACGTGTGTGTGTGTGTGTGTGTATTTAAAACATATTTGTATTGATTTCGGAGAGAGGGAGAGAGAGATGGAAACATCAATGATGAGAGAGAATCCTTGATCGGCTGCCTCCTGTACATCCCCACTGGGAATCAAGCCCACAACCCGGGCATGTGCCCTGACTGGGAATCTAACCGTGACCTCCTGGTTCTTAGGTCAATGCTCAACCACTGAGCCACACCGATCAGGCGAATGTTTGCCTTTATACTTTTTTGATGAAATACTGGTAGAGCATTTTTTCCATATGGTAACGGGAAAAACAACCAAGAGAGAAAATTGAGAGTTTGGTGAACTATAAGAAAAGAAAAACAACAAATATGACACATCATCTCTCCCTCATAATAAATGTAACGGTGAAGGAGGGAGACAGTAGAAAAACTGTAATCTAGTTGGGCACATTGATGTCATGTTTTTCAATGACAGAATAGAACAACCACTTGCAATTTTTACATGAAAACGAATAATTCAATGATATACAAGTAAAAAGACGTGAGAGAAAAGTTTAAAATGCAAATATATAGCCCTAACCGGTTTGGCTCAGTGGATAGAGCGTCGGCCTGCGGACTCAAGGGTCCCAGGTTCGATTCCAGCCAAGGGCATGTACCTTGGCTGCGGGCACATCCCCAGTGCGGGGTGTGCAGGAGGCAGCTGATCGATGTTTCTCTCTCATCAATGTTTCTAACTCTCTATCCCTCTCCCTTCCTCTCTGTAAAAAATCAATAAAATATATTTTTAAAAAATAAAATAAAATAAAATGCAAATATATAAATATGGACCTTGATTGAAAAATAGATAAAATGCAGATTTTCTTAGAAAAATAGAATTTAGAAATATTAGAGAAAACTAAATAAATGGACCAATATCCTTAGAAAAAACTAGAAAACATAATTATGGAATTAATCCACAAACATGCATAAAATACAGGTAGTTTCACAGAGAACACTGAGACGTCAGAAACATGGAAAGGAAGATGAAGAGTAGACCCATTCTGCACAGGAAGGTGCTGCCAAGTACGGCTTGCACATGAACAACTCATCTTACAATGGGCATCAGTCATGAGGCCCGTGGGGAGGCCGAGGTTTTTGTCCCACTTCCCCATCTGTGTGTGTCACTGTGGGAATCAGTATTTTCTCCAACCAGACAGTAATAGTCAGCCTCGTCCTCAGGCTGCAGCCCCGAGATGGTCAGGAGCCCCGCATTGGCTGAGGCGTCTTTGGATCCAGAGAAGCGGCTGGGGACCCCGGAGCCCTGGTTCTTACTTGAGTCTGATTTATAGGCCAGGAGGTACCGGGGACGGCTCCCTGGCTTCTGCTGGTACCAGTTTATCCAGAAAGCACTGAGAGGATAGGAAGCGCCACTCAGGGTGCAGGTGAGTCTGGCTGTGGCTCCCGGAGATGCAGAGAGGGAGGGCGGCTGAGTCAGCACAACCAGTGAAAGGGACCCTGCAGACACAGACACTTGTCAGTGATGGGCAGGGACCAGGGGACGTTTCCCAGGAGACTGAGCAAGAAGGGAAGAAGCCTGGTCCCAGGCCTGTCCCTACCTGTGCAGTGAGAGAGGAGCGCGAGGAGCAGAGGAGTCCAGGCCATGGTGCTCACAGCGCTGAGCCCACAGTGGGGCTGGGCTGCCCAGGCCTCCTTTTCTCCCCCACCCTCTGCCAGGGGAGGGGCTGCCATGCAAATGGGGGTCCCTCCAGGGACTGCCCAGCCCCTCCCTGGGCCCTGGGGCTGGAGCTCAGCTCACACCCCAGACTGAGGGGCATGGAGGTGGGCTCACCCCTTGGGGGGCCCTGGGAGGAAGCACCTGCTGAGACCACACAGAGAGACCTGCTCAGGGGGCGCTGCCAGGCCTGAGAGGACACAGCTGCTGAGTCCCCTGTAGGCAGCACAGGGCTCAACCTCTGAGTGAATGGTCCTCCCTAAGCTGCAGTGTGAGGCCCACAGAGCGGTCCCCCAGCGCCCTCTGCTGGTCACAGGTCACACAGCTTCAGGTCACTCTGTGCACATGTGTGAGGGCTCCTTCCCAGCTGCTGTCACCCTGACACACTGCAGTGATGACTGTGGTGTTTCAGTCCCGGGTCCTCTTGTGGGAAAGGAGCAAAGTGCACGTAAATAAAAAATAATTGGGTCTCACTCTCCATGAGGCTGTTGCAAAGCTAATGCACAGTGAGCTTCTCCCCCAGCAGCACAGGGAAGGGGCGGTGGGGCCGGTGTGAAGGGCTCACAGGGGCTGCTCACCACGTTAGGAGCCGGGTCCTGTGGCGGGAGAGGCGTCTGTCCCCTTTCATCCCTGCGGGGACACGACCCTCGGCTGCGGGGCCTTCGGGCCTCAGGAAGCACAGGGCAGGGTGAGCACCAGCCCCCCTGTTTCTGCGCTGACAGCACAGCCTGACCCCGGTTCCCTGTGGCCCCCAGCTCCTCCCTGGGGGTGGCCAGGAGAGTGGGTACATTTACAGGAAAAGGGCTACTGCATGGGCTTCGCTAATCTGAGCGAAATGTGTGTGGGGGGACTTGGTCCTGACGTTCTTAGAAAAGAGTGTTCTCAGGAACAAGACAATAGCTGGATGCACCCCAAAGGGGGCAGGTAGGGCCTCGGGACGCGGGGGGGGGGAGACAATTACATTAGTAGCTCCCGTGTGCAAACAGGCAAAGGAGATCGGACTCATCCGCTTTGGAAAAACCAGTAATTGTCCTGTCACATAGAAGAGACTGGCTGAGGCTGTGAGGAGCGGACAACCTCAGGTGGGAGGTGAGAGAGGGAACAGGACTCTGAGGGGAGTCGATGCTGATTAACTCCTGTGCCTCTCCCTCCCTAGAGACGGAGGCCTGGGGGACAGAACTGCTATAGGAACTTGTCACTTTTCCCTGAAACCCTCACGTGAGGATGGAGTTAAAAGCTGAGGAGCCCGAGGGAGAGGAGGAGGTGGGGGAGGCAGCAGCGAGGAGGGAAGAGGGGGAGGGAGTGTGTCACTGAGAGTCTGTGCTGGTTGTGACCAACCTTCTGTGGGTTTGATCAGAGAAGGAGAAGGTGGTGCCCATGACCAGGGTGGACACTAACATATCAGACCTGATGGGTCAGTGGTGACACAGGGTTCACACACATGACATTAATGTGTGGGGGAGCATGGCTGTCTGGGTGACCATGTGCAGTTGCAGACACAGGATGTGAGCTGATAGGAAACATACGCTGGTCTCGGCCCTTGGCCCCGGCACAGGCTCCGGAACCCTTGTCACTCCCTGGGGGACGGGCGGGCCTTTTGCTGATGAGGGGACGCTGGGTGGGCTCCTGGGTGAGGACGGGCCACTGGAGAGACCGATGAGGATTAGAAGCTTGGAAGCCCCTCACTTGTCCCCCATTTGCTTGAAGGGGAGAGGGCTCAGGTGCTGTTAGCAAATTCATGGAACCCAAGAAAGGGATCATGGGAACCTTTGCTGTGCAGCCAAGAAGTTGTGTGAAACCTGGGACCTCCCACCTGTGAGTGGCACTGACCTGCGGGCAGTCAGGGGGACTGGCCCTTTAACTGTGGGTCTGACACCGTCTCTGGGCAGATGGTGTGCGGACTGAGTGCTGCTGTGGGACATCAGCTGGTGTCAGAACTGCTGTCGGGAAGAGAAATCCTCACACATCGGGGACCAGAGGGGTCAGGAGTGAAGTTTTCCTTATGGGAAACAAGATACACATTAGAAAAGAACGTGAGTGAATATTTAAAAATATTCGCTCAGCCCAGCCAGTATGTCTCAATGGTTGAGCGTCGACATGTGAACCAGGAGGTCAGGGTTGGATTCCTGGTCAGGGCACAGGCCCAGGTTTCTGGCTGAATCTCAGTGTGGGGCGGTCAGGGGGCAGCTGAGCAATGGTTGCCTCTGTTCATTGGTGTTTCTCTCTCTCTCTTCTTTCCCTTCCTCTCTGAAAGCAGTGAAAATATATTTTAAAAATGTTTTAATGAAAATATTCACTCGGTTTCCCCAGCAATAAATGCGCTCATGACAATGCCTATGAAATAGGGCTGTGCTGAGAAGGAAGCTCTGACGTACAGCGAACACACAGTCAGCTCTCAGTAGGTGTTAGTCCTCAGGATAATGATGAAGTTATTGCTTATTTCAGTGGCATCTTAGGTCGCCATAAAGGACGAAGAGGATTCTGGGGTGTGGCTTCAATCTGCCCAGACTCCAATGAAGATGAGCTGCAGCAACATAATGATATTCCTTCTTCTTAGAATTTCCCCTGACACAGGGGGTGGGCTGGGCTCTGTGATCACCGCGTGTGCCCCTGGGACGCCTGTGCTGCTGCCACATCGAGTGTGACCTCCCTCCTCCCGGGGACACAGGTCCCTGCAGAGGAGCCCCCCTGACAGAGGCCCCCACAGACGCTCCTCACTGAAGGGAGGCTCAGAGCCACCACCTCTGGGGCCAGGGGTTTTGGTCTCACTTCCTCGTCATCTGAGACACTGTGTGTAACGAAAGCTGCTCCCACTGCCATGATCTGTAACGCAGTAATAGTCAGCCTCGTCCTCAGGCTGTAGCCCCGAGATGAGCAGATGCGCTGTGTTGGTCGAGGCGTCTTTGGATCCAGAGACTCGACTGGGGACCCCAGGTCCCAGCTCCTTGTCTGAGTCTGAGTAGTAGTACAGAAAATACCGGGGAGCGCTCCCTGGCTTCTGCTGGTACCAGTACATGTTTTTACCACCAACACTGGCGTCACTGCTCAGGGTGCAGGTGAGTCTGGCTGTGGCTCCCAGAGATGCAGAGAGGGAGGGCGGCTGAGTCAGCACAGGCTGGGAGAGGGACCCTGCGGACACAGACACATGGGGGTGAGAAGAAGGGTCGGGGGGCAGGTGCTCCGGGTCCCCAAGGCCTGTGGCTACCTGTGCAGTGAGCGAGGAGCACGAGGAGCACAGGGGTCCAGGCCATGGTGAGCGCAGCCGGTTCCCAGGACACAGAGCTGGGGCTGGTCTTCTCAGGCCTCTTATCCTGCCCTGGCCACAGAGAAGGGGCTGCTCATGCAAATGTGTCCCCGCCCCCCCCCCTCCCCCAGGGGCACTGACAGGGTCTGGGCCTGGTGCAGGGAGGCCAGCCTGGTGCACTGGTTGCCGTGGGTGGGGCTGGGAGGAAGCAG